TCGACTACCTGTAGCTCTGGGCGATGTCCACTCTACATTTTAGTTGTATTCCATTGAAATTGTTGTCTGCTGCTGCGGTTAGGTGTCTACCCGAGCAGCCATCTTGGATCCTCCCGGAAGGGGAGTTATTACAATACTAGAGGCCCTGTGCATGAAGTTCATTTACAGGCAGGGTCCCTAGGCCTGGCCAGTGATCAGGGCCCATCTGAGCCTTTTGGGGGCCTTCCTTTGTTCTGTGCTGCCCCCCTGGTGATCAGCACACGTCATAGCAAGTGGTCAACTTGGACTCCCAAGGGGACAGTTGAACTAACTCCCAAGGGGACAGTTTGCATATTAGTCTTTTATTATATAGGATGCTGTTCCTTCGTGAGAGGCTCCCCCTGCAGGAGTCTGTGTGCACTGCTAGGAGCTTTGCTCTGTGAGGTGCATCTGGTTTCTGCCCCTTTCCGAGTTGGTACCAACATACTAGGGGAATTCTCTTCTTCTGTTGTCTCTGCCACAGCATCCAATCCATGTCTCTGGAGCCACAGACACATCTAACTCAAATGATAGCCCTGCTGGGGGAATGCCCAGAGTTTCAACCTGCTTCACTAGTATTTTTCTCCTTCTCACAGGGAGCTTGCTGCTCTGATCCCTAGTCCCACATATACCCTTTCTTTACCAGGCAGTGCAAGGGACAGGGGCACTGTGCCAGGTAGACAATAAAAGTCCTCCAAACTTTATGCCTGGCCAGTGTTCTCAGTGGTTAGAGCATCAGCCCAATCATGGAAGGGTTGAGGGATCAGTTCTCAATCAAGGGCATGTACCTGGATTACAGGTTGGATCCCTGGGCCCAGTTGAAAGACATGCAGGAGGCAACCATTTGATCTCTCTCTCTTTCTCTCTCCCTCTTTCTCTCTCCCTCCTTCCCATCCCTCCTTCCACTCTCTCAAAAAATCAATACGAAAAAAATATCCTTTGGTGAGGATTAAAAAACAAAACAAAAAAAGTCCTCCAAAATTTCAAAATTCCTACAAAAAAAAATTGTACCTTTCACATCTTCTAAGAGGTTAGATGTCACCTTGTCAATCACAGCCTCTGGGACAACAAGCATTGCACCCAACCATCAGCTCCCAGAAACTTCATGGTGGTGACTGGGGCTTAAACCGTCAGTGGGTTAACTGCCCGCCTTCTCACAGATATTCCAGCAAAATGTGCAGCGTGTCCGGCAGCAAAGGAAGTCCCCACAGGTCCCATGATCTCATCAGTGCAAGGGGCCCCTTTACTGATGTGGTGAAGCACAGGCACAGGTGTCTGCCCACCACCTCACGACACTGTGGGCCAGGCGTGTAGCCCTGGGGAAGCAAACAGAAACACAGGACATGCGGGCCTGTGTGGGATCAACATGTTTTCTTGACTGAGGATCTGGCCAGGCTCCCAAGCTCTGACACTCTGCTTATTAATGGCCTTCACTCTCTACCTGCAAGGTGTGTGTGTGTGTGGGGAGGGGGGTGTAAGGCGGAGCATGGGAGTGGTCCATGCTCCCATTTACCATACACAAGCCACACCGGGCTATTAAAACATTAGGGCAGGGCATAAGCTTCCCACTCAAACGAACAGTTCTCAGATAGTTCCTCCTATTTGCTTATGCCCTCTACTGGGGCAAGCCAGTTCCAGCATGTGCTAATTGCAAGAGTTTCATCCACAGGTTGATGGAACTTGGGGACTCAACAAAGGCTGAGTCACGTATGGTATCACCCGTTGGGAATGGCTGAAGGCATTTCCCCCAAACCGGAATAGGATGACCATTGGCTGCCGAACAGCTCAGGGCATCTTCATCTACGTGTTATGGCCTCCTACTGGGTCTTGAACTTTCTGTGGATTAACTGCCCATCCTCTCTCTTGCCAGAGGGCAGGGTGTGTGGTAACCTTGCTCATTTCTCTGCCTCCGGAAGCTCAGAGAAAAGCCGTTGCCCCAGATCTCATAGCTGTACGGACCACACCTGCCTACTTTCCCTGGCCTTCTACGGGAAGCTGGCTGCTATATCAGGAAGCCAGGCTGTAGCCTTAGCTGGTTTGTCGCTGTGGGTAGAGCATTGGTCTGCGCACTGAAGGGTCCCAGGTTTGATTCCGGTCAAGGGCACATGTCCCTGTTGAGGGCTTGACCCCCAGTAGTGGGTGTGCAGGAGGCAGCCAATCAATGATTCTCATTCATCATTGATGTTTCTCTCTCTCTTTCCCTCTCCCTTCCTCTCTGAAATCAATAACAATATATTTAAAAATATAATCTAGGTGTAAGTATATTCTCTTATCACAAACATTCTCTGAATCTGGAGAAACCCTGTTGGCCGGGGTTGTTGTTCCTATTGAGGGGAGCACAGTCTACGACCCCGAACACGCCTTTGGAGATCCTGCCTGTTTTAAGCTGTTGCTTTCAAGAAACAGCGGCCTCAGGGAGAACCCTGCCCCTCTCCCTATCGGCCTGAAAGGGATTCAGAGGAGGACCTGCTCCAGGGGGAGCCATCACAGGCCTCTGCGGTTTAACGTGAACGAGGAGGGGAGGACGGAGAGGACACGAGCGAGGCCCTTTGGACCCAAGTCCCGGTTGCAGGTGGCCCAGCAGACCTCCCTTCCCCAGGGCAGGCACATGGGCCCCCTCTCTGTACCTCCAATGGCACCAGGCCCCCAATGCCCCGCTGCCCTGGGGGCTCCCATGGCACAATACAGACATGTAATGAAGCTGTCATGTGTGATAACAGTCCCTGCAAGCAAGCTGGCTGTTGGTGCCTGTTCCCCTGTCTGTGTTACATGGATTAGGAGTCTAGCCAGAACCACTAGAAAGTGGAAGGAAAGTGTGTTTTCCACCCCTACACTCTGCTTTGCTTTTCCTGGTATGAAGGGGTCCCATGGCATGGGAGCATCATCAACTTCCTCATCAGAGATCACAACGCCCACCTCTTCGCTCTCCTCACTTCCCTGAGATTCCCCGCCCTCGCTGCCAATCAGACTTGGTCACAAGTGCTTGGACCTTAACCTGAGCGAACAGAAGAATGGTGGCGTCACCGGTTTATAGGGAAAACCCACAGCTTTCTGTTTGCAGGGCCAGGACTAGTGCGAGGGGAGGGAGGCACTGGCCTTGGTTGGGGGAAAGAAGTGTTGGGTCCATCGGACTCAGGTCAAGAAAGCTGAGGAGACTGCTGAAAGGTGGACAGCAAGGCGCACCGAGAACCCCCTCAACGTCACACTAACGCGGGACCCCACATAAGCACCCTTCTTTTATGCCTCCTCACCTGTGCAGAGAATACCTGAGCCACACTCGTCCTCATGCACTCAGGTCACAGAACTGCCTCGAGAGTATGATGAGTCCCTGAAAGGTATTCTGTAGCACCGGAGGGGACTTGGTGGGCGTGCAGCAATGGGACAGTACCTAGTGCCTTCCCCCTTCTTTGCTTTCACCAACAGGTCCTGGCATATGTATCCTTCCTCATATCCTACTGCAAGTGTACTGTCACTCTGGGGACGGAGGTAGGGAACACTTCAGATTAGAACCTAGAAGGGAAGAGGGTGCCCTGTCCTGGTCCCCCTTTTAGCAGGACTAGGCCTGGTGGGACTGCTGCTCTAATAACAGAAATACATCAGAATTACAAAGAGCCAGGACAACAGGTCAACCAGGAAACATCGGTAGGACAGCTAGAAGACTCCTTAAGCTCCCTAGGCGAGGGAGTTAGTCCTGCAGAACTGGAGGGGATTAGATTTATTGTTCCTAAAACAAGGAGGCTTGTCTTTACACAAACCATTCATCAGGGAGAGGCTGAGTCAGCTCAGGAAATGCTAAGACTTAGCCTGACTCAGGAAATGCTAAGACTTAGCCTTAGGAAGGAGAAGGGCCGCAGGACGTTGGTGTGAAAACCTGTTCACGTGGTCACCACGGCTGACTACCCTCTTGTAGGCCACAGCTTGACCCCTGGTCCTCCCGCTCCTCATTTCACTGTTTGGCCCGTGCTTTGCCATACGCTTACTGAACTTCATCCGAAGTAGAATTCAGGCTGCAAAGCGCATGGTCCTCCACACCCATCACCTGCCCATCCCCGGGGAAGGAGGGAAGGAGTCTGAATAATCTATTTGATTCCCCGTGAAGACCAGCAGGGAACGTTCTGGGCTGCAAACACTGCACAGCTCCTCAGCCTCCTGGAGGCAGGAGCCTTGGGACCGAGGGAGGTGGAGCAGGTCACCGAACAATGAATGGGTCGGTGGGAGTTTGGAGGGAGGTAGCGGTTCACGCTCAGGCCCAGCGTGCCAGGCGTTGCACCTGTGCCCTGAGTTCCTTGGAAACGGCTGAAATCACTGTTGTCACCTTTGGGTTGTCGTAGTAACTGTCCCAACTCCCTCTTGTGGATTCCGAGTATGAATTTGCTGTAACACCTGAGGTCGGCACGGCAGTTCGGTCTTTACCGCCGTGAAGTGCTGCAACTGTGGTCGCTGGCCGGCTTGATAAAGGCTCATACATTTTGATCTCTGACTCCGGTGGTGGTCTCTTGTGGGTCACCCCATAACAATCCCCATCCTGATCCTGTGGCTGCTGAGTGACTTTAAGCGGTCCAGGCAGAAGCATATTCCTCCTCCGACAGCCTCCGTGGCCCCCAGGGTCCCCTGAGACAGCAGCAGGGATGCTCAGGGAGCTCCTGCTGGGTCACTACGGAGAGTGACACCAAAGAAAGACCCACTCACCTCTCAGCCTCAGTTTCCCCAGCTGGGGATTGGACCAATGATGACTCTGTCTCTTCAGGTCACAGTCCACAGGCACTCAAGGCTGGCATGCCCTAGGCTTCCGGTCACTGCCTCTGTCCCCTCCAGGGACACAGGAGAAGGGCAGGGCCTTGTGATGGGGTGTCCTCTCCCACAGGAGCTCACGGGCCAGCAGCCAGCCCACAAGGACCACACCCATAATTTAGCAGCAACAATGCACCTCATTTCTGGGAAATGAAAGTAAAAGCTAACCTGTTCTCTTCCTACAAATGCTGGGTTTTGGAAGTTTTCATTGGTCAGCATAGATCCTATGGTAATAAGGAGGCAGCTCCAGCAAGTATAAAAGTTCTAGGTTTCTTTCCAAACTCCCTCCCCGGCTCCCACGAATCCCTCTGGATGGCACCCACTTCTTGCCACTACTCCCGCTTGCCCATGGATGAGAACCCCAAGAAGCTTGGGGACTGCAAGCTGCCTGTGTGGGTGGGGATTGTGGGAATCCTGCTGGGCCTACTGGTGGTGGTTCTGTCTGTGGTGGTCGGCATTCTCGCTGCCAAGGCCAATAGCCCAGCTTGCAAGGATGGCCTCCGAGCTGAGCAGGAGTGTCGAAACATCACCCACTTCCTGGAGCAGGAGCTGACCCAGGCCCAGGATGCCTTGCGGGGCACTGAGGCCCAAGCAGCCACTTGTAACCAGACTGTGGTAAGTGACTGCCCCTCCTAGAGAGGCCCTGTGCTTGGGAGGATCCCAGGGTCCAGGTGCTGGGGGACCCCGGGTCCAGCTGGAGATGGAGATAGACCTTGAACCTGCCCCTAGGCCCCTCCATGGGGAGCCTGGATTTCCCCACCAGGGTTTGGGGAGCACAAGTCCCTCTGGGGTGCCAGTGTGGGACCCCAGAGAACCCATAAGGGGCCTCAGTATCCCCAGTTACATGTGGATGAATCTGCAAACTCCAGGACACTGGTCTAGGGTGGCTGGGGACTCCCCCCGGGCACAGTCACAGGGAAGCAGAAATCCCCTCTGGGGTGCGGATGGGGACCCCACCCGACTCCGAAGAAGGCAGGGGGCTTTTTCTTTCTTTCTTTTTTATTTTTATTTTTATTGATTGATTTTAAAGAGAGGAAGAAAGAGAGTGAGAGAAACATTGATTTGTTGTTCCACTTATTGATGCACTCATTGGTTCATTCTCGGTACGTGCACTGACCAGAACTTGAGCCCACAACCTTGACATATAGGGATGACGATCTTACCCAGGGCAAGACAGGGGCCCTTGATACTTCCCCTGCATCCCTAAGAGGCAGAATTTATGTATTTTATTGATTTTTTACAGAGAGGAAGGGAGAGAGATAGAGAGCTAGAAACGTCAATGAGAGAGAAACATCGACCAGCTGCCTCTTGCACACCCCCTACCGAGGATGTGCCTGCAACCAATGTACATGCTCCTGACCGGAATCGAATCTGGGACCTTTTAGTCCACAGACCGACGCTCTACCACTGAGCCAAACTGGTTTCAGCAGAGGCAGCATTTTAATTGGGGTCTTGATATGGGGTCCTTGAAACTCCCTCTGGACATAGAACGTGGGTTCAGAAATCCCATGTGTTCTGGGCTTGAGGGGACTCTAACTCTTCTTGGACAATTGCACAGAAGATCTGGAAATCCCTCCTAGGCTTTGTGCCAAGAGAGCCTCCAATTTCTCCGGGGGGGGGGGGGGGGACGGTTGCTTGAAACTCCCATTTTGAGGAACACTCCCTGAGAGGGTGGGAGGCTGTGGCCATTCTGCAGGGTAGAGACAGGTTCAGAGAGGGTTGGAAGGAATCCTGAAAGGGGTTTGGGCCTGGGGAGGGGGCAGGGCCCAGGGACAGCAGCCAACCCCACCAGGTATAAGCCCCAGTTTCCAACACCCTCACTCCTCCATGGCATCCCAGGAGACCCTGAAGATTTCCCTGGAAGAGGAGAAGGCTGGGGGCCGCAAGCAACAGGAGCTGGTGCAGAAGCTTCAAGGTGAGAAAAACAGGCCTGACTCCAGTAGGGAGTTTGCAGGAGCAGGTCAGGTGTGAAGAGGAGGGAAGGGGAGGGCGTCGGGATTGGGGTCCTGTGAGAGGGACAGGACCCAGTCCAGTGGGAGTAGGAAGGGGCAGGCATGCCTGACTTCCAAGGTGCACTCCCCAAATGAAGGCGGGCTAGAGGCGGGTCCTGTCCAGAGGTGGGGCCAGGAGAGGGTGCTGACACACTCTTTCTCTCCTAAGAGGAGATCAAGTTATTGAATCACTTGCTGCAGAACAAATCCTCAGAGCTGCAGGACAAGTCCCAGGAGCTGGAGCAACTAAGGTCAGGACACCCACCACCCCAGGCCATGCCCCTTCCAGCTTCCAACCCCAAGACCTAGGGTCCCCTCGGCTCTGAAAAGTCCCCTTGCCCTGGGGACAAAGTTGGAGTCCCAGCCTTGGCCCTCCAGCCACCCAACTCTGGAGCCACCGGCCCCTCTCCTGCCCAGTGATTGCTGAGGAAGGAGAGCAGATGTGGAGGGCCTTCGAGCCCCAGTACCTGGCAGCCTGCTGATTGTTCCATCTCCCCCTCAGACAAGAGAATGAGGCCTTGGTCTCTGCCAAGTGCCCCCCCAACTCCGGGATCAGCCTCCATCTCTCCATGGTCCCTGTGCTCCTGACCCTGAGCCTCCTGGCCCTGCTGGCCTGAGGTCCCAGGAAGCCTGCAGGTGAGGAGGGGGCTGGACAGGGATGGGAGGAGCTAGGACAGTCAGGGCCTGGGTGGTGGCCTGCCTGGGGGAGGAGGCTGGGCGCTGAGGAGAGGCCTTTGGGAGGGAGGGGGAGGAGTCTCAGTGAGGAGCTGTTGGGGCAGAAATAGAGCAGTGGGGACCCGCTATGCCATCCTGTTATTCCTATCTGCAAAACCGCCATGTTCTCTTCTGATCAGGCAAAGCCATTCTAACCTGGCTTTTCGATGTTCGCCCAGGGCCATGAGGATGAACTGCAGAATGCAGTCTGGCCATAACAAATTTGGCGAAGCGGAAGAGCGTCAGCCTACGGACTGAAGGTCCCCAGGTTCAATTCCGGTCCAAGGCGTGTACAGTGGTTGTGGGCACATAGCCAATGGGAGGTGTGCAGGAGGCAGCTAATCGATGTTTCTCTCTCATCGATGTTTCTAACTCTCTATCCCTTTCAATTCCTCTCTCTGTAAAACATCAATAAACTATGTTTAAAAAAATAAATAAAAGGAAAGAAAAAAAACAGTCTCCTTTTCTGAGAGTCTCTCTCTCATTTTGGAAAGATAACAACCTGGTCCCAGAGGCGCTCTCTCCCATTCGGCCTGCACTATCCTAATAAATCTTCATAGCATTCAACCCATCTCTGCCTGATAATTGACTCAAAGAGTGACAGGCACCCAGACCCACCTGTTGTGGGTGTTAAAGGGAGGGGGTCCAGGCAGGAGTGGGGTGAGGCTCAGGGAGGGGTTGGGGAGAGTTCTGTCGCCTCAATCCCGCCCTGACTCAGCCTTCTTGTCTCTTAGGCCACCACCTGGACCCTCCTGTTTGCCTTTGGGTTCCCTGACCTGGCCAGGCCTGAGGGCCAACACTGCTGTGGGGAGGGGACGGATGGGGGAGGCCGGGGCCAGGTGGCAGGGGGTGGGTCATGTGCAGCCTTAGAGGTGGGGAAGCATCAAAGTTGGCCCAAAGCTGCCCCCCAACCCCCAAGACAGCAGGTCAGAAGTGGGAGGGGACATCTGTCCTTTGCTGTCATGGTTTCTGGAAGGGAACTCTTTCTGGGGTCTTTGGGTTCCACAAAATTAGCATCCCCTTTTTGGGGAACGAACTTACTCTGTAGTTCTTGGAGGATCACTGTGTCAGTCCCAAGCATCTGGGACCCTTTGATGTCTACATCCAGGCTACCTTGCTCCTGAATGTCCCCAGAAACCCACAGGGTTTGGTCAGCTACCACCCACTCACTGCCTCCCCAGCCCTCTTCTCCGATGGATTCATCCTAAAGGACTGTCCACCCTTCCCCCAGCCCCATCAGTGCCTCCTCAGTGCTCAGCATTCTAGTCTTCTCTCCTCACTGTCTCCTGAGGCTCCTGCTCCCCATCCCTTTCCATGGAAACTGAGGCTGTGAGGAGAAGGACACCTTGTCTGGTTCCCCATCCCCTCCCCTGGAAAGTGCAGGGCTGGCCCCGCTGGGTGTGGCTCAGGTGGTTGTGCATCTTCCCAAGCACCAGAAGGTTGCCAGTTCAATTCCTGGGCAAGTCTCATGCCTGGGTTGCAGGCTCCTTCCCGGCTAGGGGGCATGCAAGATCCTGCCAATCAATGTTTTGGTCTCACATAGATGCTTCTCTCTCTTTCCCTGTCCCTTCCCCTCTTCTTCCTCTGTCTCTAAAACTCAGCTAAGCCCTGGCTGGGTAGCTCAGTTGGTTGCCGTGTCCTCCCAGTATGCCAAGGTCACAATTCAATCCTCAGTAAGGGCACAGACAAGAATCAATCAATGAGTGCATAAATAAGTGAGACAGCAAAACGACATTTCTCTCCCTCACTCCCTCTCTCTCTAAAATCAATCAATCAATTAAAAATAAAAATCAATTTAAAAAATAAAGCCAGCTGAAACCAGTTTGGCTCAGTAGATAGAGCGTTGGTCTGTGGACTGAAAGGTCCCAGGTTCGATTCTGGTCAAGGGCATGTACCTTGGTTGTGGGCACATCCCGGTAGGGGGTGTCCAGGAGGCAGCCAATCAATGATTCTCATTCATCATTGATGTTTCTATCTCTCTTTCCCTCTCCTTTCCTCTCTGAAATAGATAACAATATATTAAAAAATAGAAGCTATGTGGGAGTACATTCTCACAAACTTGAGAGTCTCATCAGAGATCACAACGCCCACCTCTTCCCTCTCCTCACTTCCCTGAGATTCCCCGCCCTCGCTGCCAATCAGACTTGGTCACAAGTGCTTGGACCTTAACCTGAGCAAACAGAAGAATGGTGGCGTCACCGGTTTATAGGGAAAACCCACAGCTTTCTGTTTGCAGGGCCAGGACTAGTGCGAGGGGAGGAAGGCACTGGCCTCGGTGGCAACATTAGAAGAGCAGGAAAATGTTACTGTTATCATCACCCCCATTTCACAGTGGAAACTGAGGCAGAGGGGGCATTGCTTGCCCAGAGTCCCACAGGGAGGCAGGGTGCTCACTCACAGCCTTGGCCTCCGACCAGCAGGGCTGGTCCCGCGTTGGCCCTGTGGTGTGGAGGCCAGCACAGCGCAGCTCACACAGCTCCGCTTCCCCCAGGGCTGTGTCCTTGCCCCTGGGGTCCTGGGCTGGGAGAGAGGCGCCTGCTCAGAGGCTGCACAAGCTCCTTGGGGACTCCTCAGCAAGGGCATCCCCATCCTGGTCCTGTGGCTGCTGAGTGGCTTTAAGCGGTCCAGGCAGAAGGATATTCCTCCTCCGACAGCCTCCGTGGCTCCCACGGTCCCCTGAGGCAGCAGCAGGGATGCTCAGGGAGCTCCTGCTGAGTCACTGCGGAGAGTGACACCAACGCCAGCCTCTTGGGCGAGTCCCCGGCCCTGCCCACTCCCAGCCCACCACTCACCTCTCAGCCTCAGTTTCCCCAGCTGGGGACTAGACTAATGATGGCTCTGCCTCTTCAGGTCACAGTCCACAGCACACAAGGCTGGCATGCCCTAGGCTTCCGGTCACTGCCTCTGTCCCCTTCAGGGACACAGGAGAAGGGCAGGGCCTTGCGATGGGGTGTCCTCTCCCACAGGAGCTCACGGGACAGCAGCCAGCCCACACGGTCTAAGTAAATACAGTAATGTAGCAGCAACAACGCACCTCATTTCTGGGAAATGAAAGTGAAAGGTAAACTGTCCTCTTCCTGCACATGCCTGGTTTTGGAAGTTTTCATTGGTCAGCATAGATTCTTTGCTAATAAGGGGGCAGCTTCAGCAAGTAGGAAGTTCCAGCTTTCTTTCCGAACTCCCTCCCAGGCTCCCCCAAATCCCTGTGGATGGCACCCTGCTTTTACTGCCGCCCTCCTGTGCCCACGCATGAGTACCCCAAGAAGCTGGAGGACCGCAAGCTGCCTGTGTGGGTGGGGATCCTGATGGGCCTATTTGTGGTAAGTCTGTCTGTGGCAGCAGTCCTTTTGGCTGCCAAGGCCAATAGTCCAGCTGGCAAGGATGGCCTCCGAGCAGAGCAGGAGTGTGGAAAGTTTGCAGACTTTCTGGAGAGCAAGCTGTTGGTGGGAAGTTTGGGTGACAGGGAGGGCGGCAGACATAGCAGCCAACCCCATCAGTTTCCAATGCCCTTACTCTTCTAAGACATCCCAGGTGACCCTGATGATTGCCCTGCTAATGGAGATGGCTAGGGGCAACCAGCAACAGGAGGTGGTGCAGAAGCTTCAAGGTGAGAAAAACACAGGCCTGGCTGCAGTAAGGGAGTTGGCAGGGGCAGGTCAGGTGTGAAGAGGAGGGAGGAGGAGGGCCTCAGGATTGGGGTCCGGGGAGAGCAGTGGTTCTCAACCTGTAGGACGTGACCCCTTTGGAGGTCGAACGACCCTTCCACAGGAGTAGCCTAAGACCATCAGAAAACACAGATATTTACATAATGATTCATAGCAGTAGCAAAATGACAGTTATGAAGTAGCAAGGAAAATGATTTTATGGTTGGGGGGCACCACAACATGAGGAGCTGTATTAAAGGGTTGTAGCATTAGGAAGGTTGAGAACACTGGGTGAGAGGAACAAGAAGTGTAGTGGAAGAAGGAAGGGGCGGGCATTAAAGACTTCCAAGGTGCACTGGCTCCAATGCAGGCGGGCTGGAGGCGGGGTCCTGTCCCCAGGTGGGGCCAGTTGAGGGTGCTGACACAAGCTCTGTCCCTCCTTAGAGGAGATCAAAACATTGAATCAGGAGCTGCAGGAGAAATCCTGTGAGCTGGAGAAACAATCCTCGGAGCTGCAGGACAAATGCATGGAGCTGCAGAAGAAATATGAGGAGGTGAAACAACTAAGGTCAGGACACCCACCACCCCAGGCCACGCCCCTTCCTCCATTCAACACCAAGACCTAGGGTCCCCTGGACTCTGAAAAGTCCCCTTGCCCTGGGGACAAAGTTGGAGTCCGTGCCTTGGCCCTCCAGCCACCCAACTCTGGAGCCACCAGCCCCTCTCCTGCCCAGTGATTGTGAGGAAGGAGAGCAGATGTGGAGGGCCCTGGAGCCCAGCACCTGTGGAGCCAGGCCTGGCAGCCTGCTGATTGTCCCATCTCCCCCTCAGACAAGAGAAGGAGGCCTTGGTCTCTGCCAAGTGCCCCCCCAACTCCGGGATCAGCCTCCGTCTCTCCATGACCCCTGCTGGCCTGACAGTCCTTGTGCTCCTGACCCTGAGCCTCCAGGCCCTGCTGGCCTGAGGTCCCAGGAAGCCTGCAGGTGAGGAGGGGGCTGGACAGGGATGGGAGGAGCTAGGACAGTCAGGGCCTGGGTGATGGCCTGCCTGGGGGAGGAGGCTGGGCACTGAGGAGAAGGCCTTTGGGAGGGAGGAGGAGGAGAGTCAGAGAGGAGCTGTTGGGGCAGAAATAGAACAGTGGGGACCCGCTATGCCATCCTGTTATTCCTGTCTGCTAACCGCCATGTTCTCTTCTGATCAGGCAAAGCCATTCTAACCTGGCTGAGCGATGTTCGCCCAGGGCCATGGGGATGAACCTCAGAATGCAGTCCCTGCTCCTTCTCTGAGTCTCCTCTCATCTTGGAAAGATAACAACCTGGTCCTAGAGGAGCTCTCTCCCATTCGGCCAGCACTATCCTAATAAATCTTCATAATATTCATCCCATCTCTGCCTGATAATTGACTCAAAGAGTGACAGGCACCCAGACCCACCTGCTGTGGATGTCAAAAGGAGGGGTCCAGGCAGGGGTGGGGTGAGGCTCATGGAGGGGTTGGGGCGAGTTCTGTTGCCTCAATCCCGCCCTGACTCGGCCTTCTTGTCTCTTAGGCCACCACCTGGACTCCCCTGTTTACCTCTGGGTCCCCTGACCTGGCCAGGCCTGAGGGCCAACACTGCTGTGGGGAGGGGACGGATGGGGGAGGCCGGGGCCAGGTGGCAGGGGATGGGTCATGGGTAGCCTTAGAGGTGGGGAATCATCAAAGTTGGCCCAAAGCTAACCCACCCTCCCACCCCCTGTCCGTCCAAGCCAGCGGGTCATGAAGTGGGAGGGGGCTTCTGTCCTTTGCTGTCATGGTTTCTGGAAGGGAACTTTTTCTGGGGTCTTTGGGTTCCACAAAGTAAGCATCCCCTTTTGGGGGGACGAACTTACTCTGTAGTTCCTAAAGGATCACTCTGTCAGTCCCAAGCATCTGGGACCCCTTGATGTCTACAAACAGCCTTCCTTGATCCAGAACATCCCCAGAAACCCACAGGGTTTGGTCAGGTACCACCCACCACTGCCTCCCCAGCCCTCTTTTCTGACGGATTCATCCTCAAGGACTGTCCACCCTTTCCCCACCCCCATCGGTACCTTTTCAGAGCTTAGCATTCTATTTTCTCTCTCTCTCTCTCTCTCTCTCTCTCTCTCTCTCTCTCTCTCTCTTTTTTAACATTGTTCATTATAATAGGATATTTACATAATTTTCAAGCAGTCACAAGTTTAGTTTATCTTTTAAGAGTAAACCTCAAAGGGTGATTTTGAGTTGCCTTATACTGTACTTTTCTTCAACAATTTTTTTAAAATTTTATTTTATTTTTCATATTTTATTATGGTATTATATGTGTACGTATGTTATCATTGCAGCCCCTACCTCACTCCCATACATGCCCTCACCCCCCAGAGTTTTGTGTCCATTGGTTATGCTTACATACATGCACACAAGTCTTTCGGTTGATCTCTTATCTCCCCCACCTTTTCCTAACCCTCCCGCTGTCATTGGACATTCTGTTTGATGCTTTATCAGCACTCTAGTCTTCTCTCCTCACTGTCCCCTGAGCCTCCTGTTCCCCATCCCTTTCCAATGAAACACAGGTTGTAAGGAGAAGGACACCTTATCTGGGTTCCCCTTCCCCTCCCGTGGAAAGTGCAGGGCTGGCCCCAGTGGGTGTGGCTCAGGGGGTTGTGCATCTTCCCAAGCACCGAAAGGTTGCGAATTCAATTCCTGGTCAAGGCTCATGCCCGGAAAACACAGATACTTACATTACAATTCATTAGCAGTAGCAAAATTACAGTTATGAAGTAGCAATGAAAATAATTTTATGGTTGGGGGTTACCACAACATGAGGAACTGTATTAAAAGATTGCAGCATTAAAGAGGTTGAGAACCATATAGACACAGAGCCAATACCAAGTGAAGGAGACACAGGGAGAAGACAGCCATCTACAAGCCAAAGATAGAGGCCTTAGAAAAAAATAACCCGGGGGGGGGGGGGGCAGGAGAAACCAAGATGGCGGCAAAGGTAAACAATGAAACTGCCGACTTGTACAACAATTTCAAAACTACAACTAAAAGACAAAACGTCTATCACCCAGAACCTCAGGAAAGCTGGCTGAGTGGATGTTTTACAACTAGAAGGAAAAAAGAACGGAGCACAAATGCTGAGGCACGAGAATCGAGCTGGTGGAGGGAGACTGGGCGAGTGGCTTTTTTTCAACCAGAAGGGAGACAAGCTCCCAATTACTGTGAAATCCAGTTTCTGGGGACATGAGGGGGACCCAGACGCCTATGAGGAGAAGCTGGACTGTTAGCCTTCGGGTCAGAAAGCGAGGGTGACTCTTTTGCAGAGGTGCACCCAGCAAACATTGTTTACTGCACTGGAGCACGGGACACAGGAACTTGGAAATGCAGAAAGGAGAGAAGGCTGATGGCAGCCATCGCTGTTTGCCATGCCCTAGCCTAGTGACACCCTGAGACCACACCCTGCTCATTCTACAAAACCACCCAGGCTCCACACAACGGCTTTTGCATATAAATGGCCTGCCCTGAGGCAGCTTAACCAAATAAACTGCAGCTCCCATCACACTGCTCCAAAACCGCCAAACCCCAAGCAAAGAGGAGAAAACTGTAGTTCTTGCAGTAGCTCCTGCTGGGTGGCCTCAGACAGTAGCTGACCTGCACCCCACTGGAGATCCAGAAACTAGTGTATCTAGTGGTCTGTGTGAGATGGCACCAAATTTCAACAACTCTCATAAGGAACACTTTCAAGAGGCAGAATCAGTGAGCACCAAAGCCTATTGGAACCAGTCCTGCCCCATAAACGTGTCTCCAGCACAGCAATTGTTCTGTTATAGACACAGCGGGTCCTCATAGCCAATTGGTCTGGAGGTCAATTCCTCCCAGTGACACCAACAACAATCAAGACAACTACAGCCGAAACCAGTTTGGCTCAGTGGTAGAGCGTCAGTCTGCAGACTGAAAAGTCCCGGGTTCGATTCCGGTCAAGGGCATGTACCTTGGTTGGGTGCACATCCCCAGTAGGCAGCTGGTTGATGTTTCTCTCTCATCGACGTTTATAGCTCTCTAGCTATCTCCCTTCCTCTCTGCAAAATATCAATAAAATATATTAAAAAAAGACTTAACTATAACAAGGCTGTACAAACAGTCCACAAAAGGGTGCACCAAGTGTGTCCACCTCAGGTAACTGGGAGGCTGACCCATTGAACCACATAGGACACCCAGCACACAAAGCTACCCTACCACTTAAGGAAGCAGTGAAAATAAGGAGACAAGGAAACAGATCACAAATGAAAGAAATGGAGGAGAACAAATGACTGGACATAGAGTTCAAAACCACGGTTATAAAATTACTCAAGAATTTCCTAGAAAAGGCTGATAAATTTAATGAGACCCTGGAGGATATGAAAAAGGACCAACTAGAAATTAAAATACACTGGCTGAAAGAAAATATATTATACAGAGACCCAACAGCAAGACTAGAGGAACGCAAGAATCAAGTCAAAGATTTGGAATACAAAGAGGCAAAGGACACTCCTCTGGAGAAGCAAGAAGAAAAGAGAATCCAGAAAGTTGAAGATAGTGTAAGAAGCCTCTGGGACAACTTCAAGCGTACCAACATCAGAATTATGGGGGTGCCAGAAGAAGAGAGAGAGCAAGATACTAAAACTTATTTGAAGAAATAATGAACAAAAACTTACCCCACTTGGTGAAAGAAATAGATTTAAAGTCCAGGAATTAATTCCATAATCCAGTTTAAATATATTTTATATTCTTTAAGATAATTTAGTTATACAATCTATGAAGCATATATATCGATATAAATATATATGTGTTTAATCTTTCCAAGTTATTTTAAGACTGAGAGTGACTTCTAGACATTTTATGGGCCCTAAAATGTTTTTTAAAAAGTCTATTCTCTCTTAAAAGAAATATCTTTTAATTAAACAGATTGATACTTGAAATCACATGGAAAGCTTTATCAAATAAAAATTAATTAATATATTTTACTTATATACTATATATTAAATATTATAAAAGTTTTCGCCTGTAAGAAAGGCAAAAACAATATATTTCTTAAATATAGCCACATTTTTCAACAGCAGTAGAATTTCAAGAAAGACAAAAGCCATGCTTTTGGATCAGACTAATAAAGTGTCAAACCTATAAGTTGTACTGAATAAGTTTCTTTGCCTTTTTTTTTAATTAAAAATACCTACTTAAGTTACTTTATAAATTAGCTTTTACAATATAATCAATGTCATATAAATTAAGTTACATGAGAAGCCAATATATTATAAATAATTGAATCCTAACTTTATGTTGCCACCTGCATTTTTAATTAAGCTAGAGGCAGGGCAACATTTGTGGCTTATGAATTCAAAAGTAAATTTGCTTTATTTTTTTAAAGTGAAGATACCTTGCCATGATAGCAGTCAGCACCTGTGCATTCCTACAGGTGGCCCAGGGCCAAGGGCAAGGAAGGTCGGTGTACACACCCTTCTACATAGAAGTCAAAATACTTAATATTTTATATTCTACCGGGAACCCTAGCTTAGGGGCTTGATTTATTTCTGACACAGGGAATAGTATTAACTGCCACATTAAAAAAAAATAGTATATCTCAGGTATTAACCATTTTTACAGATAGATCCAGTTCTAGAAAGGCTAGAATTGTTAAAACAGCTACTATAAGGCACATTAATTCAGAGGAACTTTTAATTTAATTTTCAGTCTATAAAATATTATTTGACAATGGCAATTTCCATATTTTATTAGAAACAATGCACTCAGTATATTATCCACCTTCCTATACCAACTTTAGGTGTAAATCCCCAAAGACTTAAACCTAATCAAATCTAGTAAAATATCATTCAATAGTAGAAAGAGCCATTCGTACTCTTAAAATCATTTTTTTTTAAAGGAGGGGGGGAGACAGATGTTATGTGTCACCTCAAGAAAAGCTCAGTCATGCTTTTTATACTTTAAAGAATTTAAATTGTGATGCAGAGGATCGTACAGCAGGAGAAAGGTATCGGGCCTCCTGTACAATAGCCTCCCCCGAGTCAGCTAGGTGGAAGGAAGCATAAACCAGAAAAGAGTTTTATCAGATTCAGTAGTAATGTGGGGAAGAGGTTGTGTTTTATATCTTTCCAGAAGGAGCAATAAAGCCAATTCAGGTGCCGGAGCGTTACATGTGTCACCACAATGGACTCAGACAAGCTCCTGTGTCCTTTCTCTCAAAAGGACCAAGGACTGCCCTAATGACAGCAAAGCAAAAGAAGAAGAAAACTGAAAGCTACACAAGAGACTGAGGCACCAACATAGAGTCATCTGAAGAAATCAATGACTGAAGTGCGGCAGATACTTCTTCAATCATGTTCCT